CAGGCATGGACGGCATCCCTCTGAGGAAACCTTGGTCGTTTGCTACAGATGTGAAGCTGTTGAGGGACACATTGTCCAAGTTCAAATGTCGATGCAATTCACCCCACGCACAAGGGAGAGGTAAGTCTTTGAAAACACCGAAAGCTACACATACAAAATGACCGACGCGATCCACGCAGCCTTTTCGCTCACAGTCACTTTTTGTATGCAATGAGCGGTTCCTGCCGTGAGGATGTCTTCTCTCGCGCCAAACCCTAGCCGGTGAGAACTCAGAAACTGTGTATTGGGACAGAATACTGTGTTTGCCACGCAATCAGCACGGCCATCTCCAAAGTGCTGCGCCTGTCACGCAAAACGAGCCCCCGAGCCGCGCGCGCGACAACATCCAGCCCAATTCGACAGCTGCTAAATGCTGCAGCTGCCACACGGACAGCTGCCAAATGCTGCCCCTGCCACACGAACACACGCCGCGTGTCACACGCCCAGACACACAGAATACTGCGCCGACACCAACACTCGCGACAGAGCAGCAACAGCACCACAAACCAAGCCCAAAACACCACCATCGCAGACGCAACTACCAACAACACCAAGAACAGCAACCGCATCAGCAACCACCGCCACAACCGCAACCGCAATCACCACCGCCGCAGACGGATGACAAGAGCCACAACAACCCCAACAACAATCGCTGCAACAACACCGCTGCTGCCAACAGCATGCAACAACCGAAACAACAACTGCCCCGACGACAACACCCGCAACCACCACCACCACCACCACGACAGACTACGACAACACCAGCCACAAGAGCAAGGGCAGCAACCAACAGCAACGATGACAACCGCAAAAACAATAACCACAGCAACAGCAGCCACCGTTACAATCAAAGCAAAAATAACAGCAACAACATCAACGACAACCGCAGGAACAACGGCAACAACAACAAGAACGAGAACGACAACAACCGCGATGCCAGCAACAGGCGCAACCACTAAAGACAACGAGAACAACAACTACCACAACCTTAACCGCAGCAGCAACAACAACCACAGCCACAACCGCAGCAATGACCACAACCGCAACAACAACACCCGCAACCCCAACAACAAACACAACCGCAACCACAAGCACAAGCGCAACCGCAACCGCATCAACAAACACTACAACAACAACGGCGCCAAACACAATAACCGCAACAGCGACCGCAACAACAACCACAACCGCAGCAACAGCCACAACAACAACAACATCAACATCAACAACAACAACAACAACAACAACAACAACAACAACAACAACAACAACAACAACAACAACAACAATAACAAAACAGCAACAGCAACAGCAACAGCAACAGCAACAGCAACAGCAACAACAACAACAACAACAACAACAACAACAACAACAACAACAACAACAACAACGGCAGCCGCACCCGCAAATGCGACACCAACGACAACAACAACAGGAGCAGCAGAAACAGCAAAGCAGAACTAGACACCGATTATCCCGAAAGCGTGTGTGAGAAAGGTGATGCAATAATGTCGGGGTATATCTATGATGTTGTATATATATACACTGCTTCTCTCTCTCTCTCTTTCTCTCTCTCTCTCTCTCTTTTTCTCTTTCTCTGTTTCTCTCTTTCTCTGTTTCTCTCTTTCTCTCTTTCTCTCTTTCTCTCTTTCTCTCTTCTCTCTTTCTCTCTTTCTCTCTCTCTCTCTCTCTTTATTCTCTCTCTTTATTCTCTCTCTTTCTCTCTTTCTCTCTTTCTCTCTTTCTCTCTTTCTCTCTTTCTCTCTTTCTCTCTTTCTCTCTTTCTCTGTTTCTCTGTTTCTCTGTTTCTCTCTTTCTCTCTTTCTCTCTTTCTCTGTTTCTCTCTTTCTCTCTTTCTCTCTTTCTCTCTTTCTGTTCTTTCTTTCTTTCTCTCTCTCTCTCTTTCTCTCTCTCTCTCTCTCTTTCTCTTTCTCTCTTTCTCTCTTTCTCTCTTTCTCTCTTTCTCTCTTTCTCTCTTTCTCTCTTCTCTCTTTCTCTCTTTGTCTCTTTCTCTCTCTTTATTCTTTCTCTCTCTCTCTCTCTCGCTTTCTCTCTTTCTCTCTTCTCTCTTTCTCTCTTTCTGTTCTTTCTTTCTTTCTTTCTTTCTTTCTTTCTTTCTTTCTCTCTCTCTCTCTCTTTCTCTTTCTTTCTCTCTCTCTCTCTCTCTTTCTCTGTCTTTCTCTCTTTCTCTCTTTCTCTCTTTCTCTCTTTCTCTTTCTCTCTCTTTCTCTCTCTTTCTCTCTTTCTCTCTTTCTCTCTTTCTCTCTTTCTCTCTCTCTCTCTCTCTCTTTTTCTCTTTCTCTCTTTCACTCTCTCTCTCTCTCTCTTTCTCTCTTTCTCTCTTTCTCTCTTTCTCTCTTTCTCTCTTTCTCTGTTTCTGTCTTTCTCTCTCTTTCTCTCTCTTTCTCTGTTTCTCTCTTTCTCATTCTCTCTCTCTCCCTCCCTCCCTCCCTCCCTCCCTCCCTCCCTTTTTTTGCAAGCCGGAGCTGCGGGAGTGTACTTCGCGTATTACTTTTCTATCTAAAAATTGCGATTCTCAGGCCGGAGCTGCGGGAGCGTATTTCGCATGCTACTTTTCTACTTAAAAGTTGCCGTTCTCATGCCGGAGGTGCGGGAGCGCGCTTCGCATACTACTTTTGTACTTAATTTTAACGAAAACCACAGCGAGAGCGATCCGACACGCAAGATCCCCGCAGAGGGTTCGTCGACAGCGAGAGCGATCCGACACGCACGATCCCCGCAGAGGGTTCACCGGCCAGCGTGCAAATTCGCACGGCGCCGCAGCGAGAGCGATCCGACACGCACGATCCCCGCAGAGGGTTCGTCGACAGCGAGTGCGATCCGACACGCACAATCCCCGCAGAGGGTTCATCGGCCAGCGTGCAAATTCGCACGGCGCCACAGCGAGAGCGATCCGACGCACACGATCCTCGCAGAGGGTTCGTCGGCCAGCGTGCAAATTCGCACGACGCCACAGCGAGAGCGCTCCGACACGCACGATCCCCGCAGAGGGTGCGTCGGCCAGCGTGCAAGTTCGCACGGCGCCACAGCGAGAGCGATCCGACGCGCATAATGTCCGCAGAGGGTTCGTCGGCGACGTAGACATGCACGATCTCCGCAGAGGGTTCGTCGGCGAGCGTACAAATTCGCACGGCGCCGCAGCAAGAGCGCTTCGACACGCACGATCTGCACAGAGGGTTCGTCGGCGAGCGCGCAAAGTCGCACGGCGCCACAGCGAGAGCGCTCCGACACGCACGGTCCCCGCAGAGAGTTCGTCGATCCCCGCAGAGGGTTCATCCCGCCAGTGCCCGCCAGACCCACCCCCGGCTAAGAAAGAAGATAGATTTTAAAGGCTGCGAGCTTGGGCTGGGTAAGCTAGGCTGTGTAAGCCAGGCTGCGTAAGCCAGGCTGCGTAAGTCAGGCTGCGTAAGTCAGGCTGCGTAAGTCAGGCTGCGTAAGTCAGTCTGCGTAAGCCAGGCTGCGTAAGTCAGGCTGCGTAAGTCAGACTGCGTAAGTCAGGCTGCGTAAGCCAGGCTGCGTAAGTCAGGCTGCGTAAGTCAGGCTGCGTAAGTCAGGCTGCGTGAGTCAGGCTGCGTAGGTCAGGCTGCGTAAGTCAGTTTGAGTAAGTCCCGCGGCGTAAGCTAGGCTGCTTAAGTCAGGCTGTGTACTCGGCAACCGTTTTTTCTAAAGAACCCTTCGGGAACAACAGCAACAACCGCAACAACGGCGGCAGCCACAACAACAGCAACGCTCACAGCCATACCAAGTACAACAACAACAGGGACAGCAGCATCAACAGCAGCAACAACGGCAGCAACAACAATCAACAGCAACAACACCAACAGCAACAATAACAACAGCAACAACAACGGCGCTAACAGATAGCCACTACAACAAAAGCAACAGCAGCACCATCAGCAGCAGCAACAACATCAACAGCAACAACATCAGCGACAGCAGCAACAACAACAACTGCAGCAACAACAACGACAGCAACAACAGCGCCAACAATAACAACAGCAACAACAGCGAACGGCAACAACAACAGCGCCAAAATCGCAATGGCAACGGCCGCAGCAATACCAACAATCGCAACAACAGCAACAGCCACAGCCGCAGCGGCTACAACAAGAGCAGCGGCAACAACAACAACAACAACAACAACAACGACCACGAAAGCAACAAGAAGCAGCCAAACAACACTAGCAGCAACAGCAGCGTTAAAACCACCACCAACAACAGCAACAGCAACAGCAACGACAGAACCAGCAGCAGCAACAACACTAACAATGGCAGGTACACCAACAGCGGCAACAAGAACAATAGCTTCGACGGCAGAAACAGCAACAGCAACAACTTCACCAACAACAACAACAACAACAGCAACAGCAGCAGCAGCGTCGAAAACAACAACAACATCAGCAACAGCAACAACATCAGCAACAGCAGCAACAACAACAGCAACAACAACAACTGCAGCAACAACAACAGCAACAACAGCAACAACAGCGCCAACAATAACAACAGCAACAACAACGGCGACAGCGACAGCAACAGCAACTGCAACAACAGCAAGGGCACCCGCAACAACAACAACAACAACAACAAGAGCAACTAGTGAAACGAGGAGGCAAACAACAGAAACAACAGCAACATTAAGCCCACCAACAACAACAGCAACGATGACGACGACGACAGCAAGCAGCAAGAAAAACAAGCAACAGCAGCAACGGCATTTTTGTCAGTGCCGTAGGTGTAAGAAGACGGGCTTGCGCCCTTCTTTCGCAAGAGGAGCCCGACCTGCGTGTTCTTTGGACGAGAAATCGTTGATCAATGCTCCACTTGACCAAGAGCTCACGTTTTGGCTTTTTGGTGTCCCAGCTTTGGTTAGTTTCTAAGAGGCTTAAAGGGCGATCTCCTTTCATTTCTAGGTCCATTGCAAGTGTCCTGGCATCCGATCCGAGGAATGCCTTCACCCTCTCAAACCCACGCTTTTGGGATGCATCCTGGCGCTAGTGTTCGTCGGAAGAAGCCCGGTGCCGCTTGATCACTCGCGGTCGTGTTTTTAGGTGCCCCTTTGAGTTCAAAAGAAAACAGCCAAAATGCAGTTCGGCGATCCCCCCGTATGGCTGTTGGACACACGTTAGGGGTGAGGCGATGCTCCGTCGTTGCTTTGGTTTTTGACTCACAGGATACGGCGGCAGAATGAGGATTCTGACTAGCAACATTTTTTGAAGTTTTGGGAACTAAGATCTCAAATGGTTGGACACCCATTGTGATTCGTATGATGGAGTACTATGCAATTCAACCGGATGTATCGCAATGAGTGTGTCCAAGACTTTATTTTGCATGAAAAGCAAGGATCAACTCAACGTGGGGGGCGCAGCCTTGTTGTGAGACCTTGGGCGCCATCACTTTGTTTGATTCAGCAAAAACACTTGAGTGGCCCACTCCCTCTTGCGAAAGGTGGATTTTAAACCGACCCAAAGAGGGACACCCCCACCTGAGCAAGGGCTCCAAGCCTAGGAATACTACGCAGGCGTGTCGGGAAACGGGCAGTTCGACTGGTACGGCACATGGGACACGGAGATCCTGTGGCCCCACGGGAGAACAACCCTGGGCTCTGCTGGGCGCTCAGCCATAGCTGCCGCACGGGTCCCAGGTATCTACCTTGTGGTGGCTTTGAGGCCAACAATCATGAAGAGGTGTTTGTTAAAAATCAAACAACAAACATGGCCTCCTTTCTAAGCAAAGAGTGGCGTACGTTTAGAATATTTTTGGTACGCATGGCCAGCGGGCAGACAAGGATAGTTGATTTTGAGGGGCTGAGCTTGGACCCAGGCCTTATACTTCCTCAACATGAGCAACCCACACAAGATTCCCGCAACTCTCAAATAGTCCCACCTAGACTATTGCAAACTGGCCTTTGTTGCAAGCCTGCGTCGGCAGTCTGATTCGTGGCATAAGCGACGCTGATTTTGGATGTACTCTACTCCATATCAAGCCAAATAGTCCCGCACAGCATGAATGCTTGTGGCATCAGAAGTCGTTTTGCAATAATTGAAGCTGGGCCCAAGAGTGTCGTATCAGACAAGCGTTTGTGGATCCTACTTTTTCCCCATGGGTTTAAAGCTGGCTAGGAAACTTGAGACACCTTTTCCGCACCAAGTCTAACCATGAGTCGATTGCAAAGATGGTACGACGCTTGCAGCGCCTCGAGCGGACTCGAACTTTTGTGGGTGACGTTGTTTATGACAGCTCCTCGGGGTCAAGGTCTGGGGTTGTTTTCCGTTTTACCTACCTTGATTTCCTGTTCAGGCTTGTGATTTGGGTTTGTCCTAAGAGTTTGGGAGGTGTCCCATTTGTACGTGGCTTCATGCGCAAACCGCAGCGCAGAAGCTCAAGCTGGGGGCGACGACATTCAGGCGAAGAGTTTAAATGAATTCGGTTTCAGGCTGCTTCATCTAAGCAAGGGCGAGCAAACATTTCCGGTGTATATTGTTGGGAAAGTAGGTAGCCAAATTGTTTTGTAAAAAGGCGGGTGCTGGCAATTGTGGTGTGCGCCTGGCTTCTCGATCCGTGAGGTCATACGCCCTTGGCTTCGCCGAGAGGACAGCATTTTGATGCTTGGCTTCGATTCTGTTTGATGACCCCACGTAGCTTGATCTTCCTTGGTTGTTCCAAGCAATCCGAGCAGACGCCTTCGCCCACCATTAAAAAGATCATGTGTTCCATGGTCAAACCGCCCCTTGTGCAGTCTTTCAAGGAACCAGGCCCACGTTGCGTCACACGCTCTTTCTCAGCCATCCCGGTTCAAAGCCACTCGGCTGCGGGCTGCCCTAGCCCCGTAGGGCTGACAGGACTTGGTGCAGAGCCATGCCACCTGAGCGCTCTTGTTTTTCTTGCCACGAACTGTGGGCCGATCATCCAGCAGAGAAAGTTGAGTTGGCAGGGCGAGACCGCCAGCGGCACGTCAAAAAACAACATTTCAAAAACGTAGAGGTTACGTCGCCACAGCTGAAACCTGGGCGGACCAGAAGTCTGCCAAAGCAGCGCGGGAACATTGCTGGCAGGAATCGAAACGAAAAAGCGCAGCTCCACGCCAGGCGACCACGCGAAGCCACAGAGCCACTCTGGCAGGAGCCCGATCTCAAAGAAGCCACTTCCAGGGGTACGGGGACCAGTTTGTTAACGTAGGGCCCCAGCCTAGTTGGACCTTCGACGTCGGTCATACGCCGAAAAGCTGCGGACACCCCTCCAGCAGTTGCCCCAGAAAGGCACAGCGATTCAAAACTATTGGCAACTACCAGAGTTGGCTGGCCAAGGTTGCTGTTGTCGATTGCGTGGTTGCTGCTTTCCTTCTGCAGAAGCCCTTCAATCCCTTCTTTCGGCCCTGTGCTAAACTTCAGTGGGCAAAATCTCCTCGCGTGACTTCTTTGCCGTTCCCCAGCTCATGGTTGAGTCTAACAAGATCACCAACGCCAAGTGAACAGCTCGGTGGGCCTCAGACCCCGACTGCGAGCTCGCAATGGGGCTCGTGACTAGATTCCTCCGCGGCGAGCGGCCCCCTGTCCGCTCTCAACTCTGACTTCCTTACCCGCTCGGCGCCTGCCAATTCCTTGTAGATGCGTTCGCCCATCTCCGCCTAGTGTGCGGCAAGGCGGTGCTGCTATCTTTTGGCGGTCTTGCCCGGTGTTCTTTTTGAACTCAAACGCTCCGACGACGTTCATGCTCACAAGCATATTCGCTTGATTTCGCGAGGACCGTCATGCTCACGTGCACTCTCGCCTACCCAGTGTTTCGCAGCCAGGCTTAGACGCTGGCATGGCCAACGTAGATTGCGCAAACGAGCACACTCGTTGAAAAAGACTGTGCTGGTTGCTGGTTGTTTGTCCTGGTTGTTGTGGTTGTTGTGGTTGTGGTCGTTGTTGTCGTTGTGGTTGTGGTTGTGGTTGGGGTTGTGGCTCTGATCCTGGTCGTTGTCGTCGTCGTTGTCGTTGTCGTTGTTGGCGTTGCTGTTGTTGTTGTTGCTGCTGCTGCTGCTGTCATGGTTGTTGCTGTTGCTGTTGCTGTTGCTTGTTGTTGTTGTTGTTGTTGTTGTTGTTGTTGTTGTTGTTGTTGTTGTTGTTGTTGTTGTTGTTGTTGTTGTTGCTATTGTGGTCGTCGTCTTCTGTCTGCGGTGGTTGTGGTGGTGGTGATATTGGCAGTCGTTGTCTGTTTTTGCCGTGTCGCTGTTGCTGCGTTTTTTGGCGCGGTTGTCCTGTTAAATCCAACTTAAGATGTGGTTGGACCTGTGTTTTGTGTTTGGGTGGGGTTGCTCCCCTTCAGATCGCGTCAGCGCACGTGTTCTTGTAGTGGCGCCCTCTCTTTTTGTTTGCGCTGAATTGGGCGCAAGTCCTTGTGTTGCACGGAATCTGGGCAAATGAGGCGTATCAGCCGTGCTTTTCCGTATGGTCTTCAATCTAAAACTTTTGAATTCCAGATGCTTTGGAAAAGATTCCCGCGGCAATCCCCGAAAAAGGCGAGACATGAATTTCAAGCGCGCAGGGAGGTCCTATCAGCGTTGGATTCTGCTAGATTCAGCAAGTTTGCCACTGCTGTTGGTGCGAACAGTGCCTGTCAAGGCGTGATGTGAACGCGAGTTGTTTGTTCTTCCAATCAAGAATCGAATGGTTCTGCTTCGTTGATCTGGTGATCTTTGGAGTTGCTTTTTCCTCTTTCGCTGATGATGGCCTGGAAGCACATACATCTTCTGATGTTGATGCTTTCGTCAAGATCGTGCCCAGTACCTGATACTGGAACCTGTGGCCTGCGCATGCCAAAAGCTTCACATGTGATCTTGTCACACTGCGGAGTGTTCGCAATAGTCCTGTGCAAGTTCCTCATTTGACCAATACTAAGGAGTATCGGTACGGCGCCTTGCTCCAGAATGTCGATGTTGCTGCTAGCTGGTGTCGTGTGATTTCTGAAGTGTAAGGCCACCTCTGCTGATTCTCCGTTGGCAAGGGGGAACGCATTCACATTGAACCAAGCCTGTGTAAGCCGCTGAATTGCACGCCAGCTTGCCGTTGTCCTGGCGCGTCCGTTGTCCAGAATTGCAGAAGTCGGGTTGTCTCGCGGGTTTATGGCCGGCGCCAGTAGCTTTGTTTCTAGCAGGCTGTGATTTGTTGTCACCCAAAAGATTGTGAGCAGAAATTGAACAACGTGGGCGTAGCGTGGATCAGCTTCTTGTCAATGGCTTCGTTGTGCTGATGTTGAAATGCATCATGACTTGCCGCCATTGCGTGTCCGGCACTGCAACCTCATGACTTGAGTACCAGCCACTTTCACTCCAACCCCATGATGAATCCAAACCCTGGTTCTTCCAACCAGCGTGTAACAGGCCGAGAGGTCAGCAGCCTGCTGGTTGGCGGGTTGCTCCTTTGATTTTTCCGCGAAGGGGGCAAGTGTGTTTGTCTTTCTTTTGTGTTTTCCGCCTTTTCCTTTTCCGTCGTGATGCGATGGGTACCCTTTGTTTCCATTGAAAGCATTCTGATACTCGTTTCTCCTTTTTTTTCGCGAATATTAGCTTTTTTCCAATATGCCTGGCTGTAGGGATCCTGAGCCATTGCCCTAGCCTTAGGCAGAATCCATAAGCAATTGTCACAGCCAGATGAGCTGAAGAGCTTCTTCACCAACGGCATCATCACGTGAAAACCGACCAGCGCCGATTGCCAAAATCAACCTACGGCCTCTTCGGGAAGGTTGTTTGCCAAGCAGCCAAACAAGCGCCAGCAAGAAGTAGAACAATTGGACGTTGATCAGACACATTAGCTGATTTGACTTGCATACATCACTTTCAAGCTTTTCTCGGAACTGGAGAACATATCATCGTCTTTGTCAGTTTGGATGGAGCAACAACAATGCGGTAGAGGCGGCGTGCTCAGGAACTACTTCGACAGTTACCATTTGCAGCCCAGAACAGTCGTCGGAGATCAGGCCTTCCTGACGGAGACATGGGAAGATTTCTATCAGCCCCTCGACATCTCGATGGGACTGAACCCACCATGGCCGAACCGAGCGGAGACAGCAGTACGATTCTTGAAGGCGCATGATTATGCAGGGAAAGCGCCTGCTACGCTCAAGAAGGTGACCAAAGGTCACCGACCGACAACTTGCCAAGGCCGCTGCAACGGTCAGAAACTAGACCGTCACCTACCGGGGAGCAACACCATTGGAGCTGGCATTGAAGAGATCTTGAGCAGCGTCTCAGAATGAGCCCTAAGCCTCTCCAGGCAGGAGACACGGTGTTTTATTGGCAGGAAGACAAACCTAAGCTTCGTTCCGACGGAAGAAATATGGTTAAAAGGCAAAGTCATTTTCAAGGATCAATGGTAGGCCTTGGTCTTGGAACTCAACTCATCAAGATAGATATGACAAAGGTCCGAATGGATGAGAGAATTTGACCAGGAGTCAAACTCTCATTGTCGGATGAGGGGCGCCTTACAAAAAGAACACAGGGGCTCCTCAACCGATCGGAGACACCAGCGCCGTTCCTCAGCCATCAGCCTCCCGTCCATTGACTTGACGGGAGAACAACTCTTCAGCCTGCGACAAGAAATGTGTGTCTGTTTCGGTCTGTGTTTTGCAGACTAGTTGCCTTTAGGAAACTAGTTTGTATCACGTATACATATTGGCTCATAACTCGCGCGGGAAACTGAAAGGAAGTAACTTGCGACTCCGAGTCTCCTGGAACTGCAAGAAGCAAGCAGAACATCTGCGGCGCCAAGAGCAACTGAATAAGGGGCGCATCACCTCGATTGCCAGGGTCGTAAAAGAGAAAAACCTGAACATCTTGTCAAGCTTATTGATAAGATGGAACGAGTTGAACAAGGAAATTTGCACGTTGAAGCAGCTTGTTCAGGGTGCGTCGGCGGCCGGGGGCAAGAGTAGCGGTTGGGATTATATCCCGTCCATGGAACCTCTTCAAAGCAGCTCTGCCTCCTCCATTCTGCGCAGGGGCTCCTTCCTTGGCTAGGCCGCAGGACATCAAGGTGTCGCAGGCGCCAGCTGCTTCTGTTGCTCCACCCGTCTTCTTTGAAACCGCGAGGCCTAACGGACTGTTCAAGGCTCCTTTTCTCGACCATAGAGTTCATACTCGCCATAGAAGGGGGCCTTGCTGCGCTCGCTCGCAGCACGCATTCACACGCTGTATTTTTTCAAGGACCCCCGAAACAATGTCACACATCAGGTCATCAGGTTCTCGTTTAGAAATGTGCTTCTTAGGCAAAGAAAGCAGATGGGAAAACAGCAACATCTTCGCGCGCAGTCGTGTTCTTGTTGAGGGCGCAACCTGTTTCACAGTAGGAAAGGTCTGGATAGAAACCCAACGCGGAGGACCTGGTTCTTCATGTTGCAGATGTACCCTGAAAAACAGGCAAGTGCTTTATATCTCTGGCCGCGAGATGGAAGGCCTTGATCCACCATTAGAGACCGCTACCACAGCGGGTGTGTCCTCATTAGGTGCCCCCCTTCTTGCTTACTTGTTTGCGTTTACGCTTGTGCTTGGCTTGATCGGGGGGGACGGGGGAGGAGGCTTCCGTGCAGACGAGGCAAAAAACCTGCGCCAAGGAAACAGTACAAGACAACAACACACAAGACTACGTACAAGAACATCCACAAGACACGCCGGCCGAGCTGAGGGGTTTTTTTCCAGAGAGATTTCGGAAGAGAATGTCCTTTCTGACTATCAAGATACGATGCTTCTCATAGGCCGCAGAGAGAGATGGCCTGCAAGCTACCACTCGCACCACTCCTCCTTGAATACCACAATCCCGTTTCTTGGGGAGGAGGTTATGCCTTCATTTCGGGTGAGCCCTTGTCACACACAGCATTGAGAGTTATGGCTGGCAAAGGAGACTCCAAGCGGTCCCTTTGGCACCGTGAAGCAAAGGCATTCATGATGGTATCAATGTTGAATCCTGAAAAAATCTGTCAGTGAGGACCTAGAGTTGTGACCCCGGAGACTTTGGGGCCTTTTCACTATGGGTGTTACCTGAGGCTTGAAAGTAGGAAGCTTGCATCTTGGACCCTGTGGCTCGAAGTTTCTTCCCGGACCCGTGGTCCAACTTTCAGCTCTTTGGAACCTCTCTCCCTGTTTGGACGGGGTCTCCTTCTTCGGTTTATTCTAGGGTTAGGGGCTCAAATTTCCAGCTCATCCCAAGTTGCAGTTGCGTACTCATCGATCAAACGTGCTGTCAGGATGCTCGGTTGCGGAAGGTCAGACATGTCCGAGCAGATGTATCGCGAAGGCAGGGCACCCTTGATTTTGGGAGGAAACCGATGAGGCCTGGCTCAGGCAGGCAGGACTTGCTCTGTGTGTGTGTGTGTCTGTGTGGGTGGGGTGGGTGGGTGGGTGTGCTAGGAGGCCGGTGGGGGTGCAGGCTTCAAGAACATCACCAATGCAGACATCAGCGCGACCTTGCTTGATAGCGCCTTGCCCCATGAGATTTGCTGTCAGGAGGTGCCAAAAAGCATGTGATGGACCAAGGAGCAACCATTTGCTCAAGCAGACCACTTGCTTGCAGTGTTACTTGTTGTAGAGCACTTGCCGCTTGCCTGCGAGAATTGAGTAACTGCCAGGAAACTGTGTTTTGGCTTTTGTAGGCGTTAAACCTGCAAGTGGATGCCGAATGATAGAAGGCTATTCGGCCACTCATGCGATTTGCCGGCGCCAAAGCACACCAAAGGAGCTCTGCGTGGAGAAAATTGTTTTGCTTTGAATTGCACCTCGTCCTTTTTATTCAAGCGTCTTGGTAAAGGGTGGATGGCCCAGTCGAGTACTTTGGAATACAGTTGACCTCCTGTGCTGGCGCACACACACACACGCATAGGCTGTTAGCACAATTGGAGCAAATATGTTGGTTTGAAATACCACATAGACATGGTTGATATAATACACATATATATATATATACATATTATGCTTACCCTTTGTTGATGGAATCGCGTTTGGGCCAGTTTCACAGCGGACACCCCAGACTTTAACATCTAGCTAGTCTCAATTTTGGAGAAACATTGTATTCAAACAGCTCTTTCAATCTAAGTTGCAGTTCAGTTTTCAATCATGCTGTTTCCCTTGTAAATTCCATGTAGATTCCAATCAAGCAAACACTGGACCTTCATTTGGAAAGCAGATCCCGATATAAGCGAAGTGCACTTTGGCAGCTCCAGCTCAAACAGCGCAACTGTTGAGCACTATAGCAGTAGGCGAAGTACACACTGTCAGCGTCAACGTGCCTGCAACAGCGTTGATATTTGCTTTTGTTGCTTTTCTCGCTTTTCAGGGAAAGTCAAGAAACCATCAACTTGGCGGAACATAGTTCGTTCCTATCTATTATTATTTTCACTTAGACTTGAATCATAGATAAAGGTGCTCCATGTCCTCTTGCAGTTCTGTGAACATTCTAGTTGGATTGTATCTTGCACGATTACTCGCATTCTAATTAAATTCTATTTTAACCAACATCAAAAGTCAAATCCTATATAAGTCATGTTTCGATGTAAGCTTGTCCATAACATCTAATGAGCATCAAACATGGGAGGGCTGCCCAACTTAGCATGTTGTTTCAAGTTTAGGCCAAATTTAGCTTCCAGCGATTGCCAGTTTCTGATGTGTTTCGAAAAAAACACGACAAGTGGAGAACATATTATGGAAATCCAGTTCAATTTTAAGTGGAAATGTTCCTCATGCAGTTCCATGTGTTGTTTAGGGAAGCAAGAGCACGCAAATACCAGAGAAAAGGGTTTCAACAAGCATGGATCTGCTCCTTGGCGACAAATGCCACACAAATGCCACACAACGCGGGGATGAAGATTTACGATTCCACAGTCGTCAATGCTGGCCAGCTCCCAAGGCCCCAAAACAAATTGAAAGCTTTTCCAAATACTTGAAAGCGCTTTCCCTTCGAGTATTTAATTAATGTTTCCCAAGCAGCTTTTCAGATGATCTGCAATCCTCGCTTGCCCGCAGGCCCCTGCCAAAAAGCAAAGTGTTTCCAAAAACTTTAACAACTTCAACAAGCACAAGGAGACACGAAGTTTCTCACACACACAGGGAGACACTCATGAATTGACCCGTTCGTGGGTGGACCGTGGTTTTCTGCTATGCTAAGGTCTCCGCCAAAGGCTGGCGCCCGAAATGCCCGGAATGCCACTGGGTCCAGGTTCGAGTCAATCGTAGCCGCGCAACGTGGATATCCCAAGGGTCTCAGCATGCTTGGCCGCGAGACGTTTCACCCTCAGAAAAAGTGACACGCTTTGTGCTGGCAGCTGTTCCCATTTGAGCTAGCTTTGTGTTTTTGAGAAGTTGCTCCTAACCGAATCGTTGAGGCCAACACTTTGCAGACCCACCCCCCAACTGGGTATGATGCCCAGACAACACAATGGATGGTTGAGGCCGCCAAAAAACATTGTTGCCTTGGGGCCATTCCCCCTTCCTTTAGAGACAGCTTCGGTTCAAGGAAAGGTGTGTTCTTTGGCCCGAAGGAGCAGGCGGGCCCGCCGAATGGACAGAGCGCAATTCCGGCCATTCCGGGCTTAGGCCTTTCACATCTCCTAAGACATCTTCTCCTTAGACATCTTCTCCTCATCTCCTTAGCGCTTGCCACGAACCTTGCGTCTCAGGTCATGGCGTTGGATGAACGCCTCAGCGCTGCCGCTCTTGACACGGGCGGACGTGGTTCTGGAGAAGGGCACCTTGGATGCCTTGAAGGAGAACCCAGGCCTCTTCCAGGCGGCGTTTCCGTTTGGGTTACGTGAGAACGGAGAAGAACAAAACACGATCTTCTTCGTTTGCTGCAACTGCAAGAGCAACAAGATCCGGGGTTCATGCTGCTAGGGTTCCGACGGGTTTCGGGGCTCCGGGGTGGCAAGCGCCAAAGTCTGAGTTGGCTCGCAGCAGTCGGATGATCGTTTTTCCCTTGTCAAATTCTGTGGTCTCTGCTCACGCAAGCTCTGGAGCGGACTGGAGCAGCTCTGAGGTAGGGTTGCGCACGGGGGCTTGGCAATTCCAGAGACTTGACAGGTTTTTGGAGGGATTGCTTTCGGGCCCGGAGGGTTCTGAAAGGTTGCGGGGCTTGAGATTCCACGAAGCCGTTCCTGGGCGAAGCAGTTGCGGAACGGTTGCTGGATTGGGTTGGGAGCTGTGGCAGGTGGGTTCCATGCAGCGGTACTGGATAGGGCTGCGGGAGGTTCCGGCGTTTGAGTGGAACGGTTGTTAGGTAAACCGTGAGTGGCGGGTTTCATGACGCAGGTGCTGGATTGGGTTGCTGGTGGTGCGCAGCGGTTGTTGGCAAGCGTAGGCTCGATCCGATCCTTATCAGAACCTTGAAAATGGTCCTTCAGAACGATTCCTAGTGGTGTTTCATGCTTGCGCGCAGTCCCTCAAAGTGACTAAACCACGAGACACTGGAGGGAATTCTCTGGTAGGCAGCAGTCCGGGAAGCCTATCGCGTGCTGACGAGCGAGGGGCTGCTCATCTCGGTGACGGACCCCGCGCGTGCGCCATTTTGAAACAGTGCGTTGTTTCCAGCTTGGACTGTTAGTTGGTTGTCAAAATTGGGGCTCCTTATCGGTATCCCCTTAGAAGGCGGCGCAAAGCAGCCCCAGGATCCAAACAGGGGGCCACCTTTTTGTCAGCCCGCGTGTGGTGTCACATACTATTTATTTATCAAAGGAAGTTTAGTTAGAAAACTTCCGTAATACGAAAAGTAGAGTCAGGCATGCGAAACACGCGAAGGGTACCCCTGCTCAGCGTGCGGTCTCGCCACGGGCTCGGAATGTTGCCTACTGTAACGCTCGCACAGACGTTTCGGAGGTCCATTGTGCGTGGCAGGCGCAGCACTTTGGCAGCCTAAGGTGCAGATTTCGCGGCAGGCGCAGCGTTTTGTGCCGATGCAAGGTCGGGTACAGATTTCGTGGCAGGCGCAGCACGTTCGCGAGGGCGCGGCACTTTCGCAAGGTCAGGTGATAGATACATGGATGGATAGATAGATCAAATGGGAAGAGAGAGAGAGAGAGAGAGAGAGAAAGACAGAGACGAAGTTGCAAATCGCATGGCAGGCGCAGCACTTTCGCAAGGTCAATCACAGGTTTCGTGGCAGGCGCAGCACTTTCGCAAGGCCAGGTACTGGTTTCGTGGCAGGCGCAGCGCTTTCGCAAGGCCAAGTACAGATTTCGGGCAGGCGCAGCACTTTCGCAAGGTCAGGTGCAGGTAGATAGAAAGAAAGAAAGTAAGAAAGAGAGAACTAAGGAGAAAGGAAGGAAACATAAAGAAAGCACGAAAGAAAGAAAGAGAGAGAGACAACGAGAAAGAGGGAAAGAAAGAAAGAAAGAAAGAAAGAAAGAAAGAAAGAAAGAAAGAGAGAAAGAGAGAAAGAAAGGAAGAAAGAAATAAAGAAAGAAATCAAGAGATAGACAGAGAAAGAGAAAGAGAAAGAGAAAGAGAAAGAGAAAGAGAAAGAGAAAGAGACAGAGAGAGAGCAAGAGAAAGCACAGATAGATAGATAGCAGGAAAGTACGGAAGAAGGAAAGAAAGAGAGAGAAAGAAAGACAGAAATAAATATAGAAAGAAAGAAAAAGAAAAGAAAGATATCAAGAGAAAGAGAAAGAGAAAGTGCAGATAGATAGCTAGATAGAAAGAAAGAAGGTAAGATAGAAAGAAAGAAAGAAAGAGAGAGAAAAAAAGACAGAAATAAAGAACAGAAAGAAAGAAAGGACACACAGAAAGACATCAAGAGATAGAGAGAGAGAAAGGGAAAGAGAAAGAGAAAGTGCAGATAGATAGCTAGATAGAAAGAAATAAAGTAAGATAGAAAGAAAAAAGATAAGAAACATAAAGAAAGCACGAAAGAAAGAAAGAGAGAACGAAAGAAGGAAGGAAGGAAGGAAGCAAGGAAGGAAGGAATGAAGGAAGGAAAGAAAGAAATAATGAAAGAAAAAGAAAGACACAAAGAAAGAGCGCAACCAAAAAAAAGCAAGTCAAGCTCTTCCTATAGGCGCCTTTCTCGCTTTAGAAACTTCCGCCCACCGGCTCTGCCGGCTCTACTGTTACATATCATGTTCGTCGGTTTCAAATGTCAAATGTCAAATATCTGTGTTCCCTTTGCTTCGGGCCATCGCAAGAATCGACATGGGTTTCCCTTTCCAGGTTTCAACAAGCATCGGAAATGTGATCTCGGGATCACTCATTTCAAGCAAATCAAGCAATGGCTATGGGGGTTTCCTGACATTCAACATTTTCGGGTTGACCCCTTTTTCGCTCTCTCTTTCGAAGTCGCGGCGCGCACACACAGACACATCTCAGTGGTAGTGGTGGCCAAGCCCTGTTGGTTGGCGAGCGCAAAAGGGTTGCGTGCTTTGGCTTTGCGACGCCTCGGGCACGAAGTATAGAGGTACTAAAGGCAGACAGCTTTTGGGCTTCATTCCGGGGCGCAGGCCCGCTATGCTTGCAGAAGGAAGGGCTGGCAGCGCAGCCACACAAGTGCACTTGACTGAAATCTCCAACAAAAGTGCAAGGCGCGAACCCTGTCATCACACGCCTAGCAGGATGTTCTGGCTTGGCCTCTCCCAATCAAAGGATAACTCGTTGGCATCGGTCGATCTGTCGGCTTGAGGTTTTTGGGGCTTTCCAGGATTCAGACCTGGAGCTCGAGAAGCTGGCGCGGCTGTGCTGAGTGGAGTCGGCCCAATCCGTGGCATACGTTTTGTATACGTTTTGTACACGTGAGAGAGGGGTTCTGTGCTTCGGTTGGACGCTTGCAACGGCCTTAAGCCGTTAACACGGTTTTAGGCGAGACACCGATTCTAGCCCCCTTAAGTGCCCTCTTAAGTGGGGTTTCTTTGCTTTGTTTTCTTGAGCGCGCTGGCACGGCCAACCTTTTTCGCAGGTCTGTGACACGTAGAAACCGAAAGGCTGGTGGCCATGGTTTCCGAGGTGTACATTTGCAGCCAGACTTAGTCCTTTCGCTCTGTTCACAAACAACCTGCCAGCGACATTTCACACACGAGGTCTTGTTCCACACGAGGTCTTGTTTTCACCTGGTAGCCTTGGCAAGCTGGTAAACCACAAACCGGCTGGTTGAATTTGCAGGAGGCGCGAACTTCGGCCAACGTTTATTCCGCATGCAAAGTCATGGTGACTGTGTTGTTGCAATTAGATAGCCCTCGGCGTGTGTGCGGAGTCAAAGAAACATATAGGCCCTGTTTGGTGGACTTTCCAGCACGCGCGGTCAGGGTCCCCAAAGTGACACCGCCAATTTGTGGCAATCTCCTCACTGGTCTTTGCCGTTCTGCAAAAACCTTCAGCCACCTCGGAGTTCTTCAGATTGATGCTTTTCGACTCGCGAGTGGATAACCGATCCGTGGCCTCCCTGTCTTGTAGGCTTGGCAGGGAGGTGCCAAATGACGCCCTTTTAACCCTCCGAAACCATTTGCAAAGGATGCTCGGATCCTTTGTCCCTTTGCTTGGAGAAAGGCTTAGTTCTTTTGGGTATGGAGTGGTCAGCCACAGCTTGAGCCCTGATAGCATGGAACAACTCTCCGGAACCTTTTGCTTTTTGTTGAAGAAGGTGCACGGCCAATTGAACACTTGCTGATATTCCTGAAGGTCGCAGCGACCTTTGCAAATCCAACCATTCCCCGCATAATTGAGCATTGCTTGACACTTGCACCCTGATTGAAGGTTCCTCTTCGAAAGGGCTCATTCATCACGCCGCATGGGGTCTGTCATAAGGTGTCAAGGACTGCCGGGCCAATAGTCAAACAAACTCCATCTTCAATCGCTGCTTGGGGAACCTGAACTGACAGTACCAGAGCCGAACGAAGCCGGCCGGCGGGAGTTTCAAACATATTAAAGCTGTAGTTGTGTTGTCTTTCTTTTCTTCTTCGTGTTATCTTCCTGCTGGTTGTCATCTTTTTGTATTTCTTTCTTGCCTTCCTTCCTTACTTACTTCCTTCCTTCCTTCCTTCCTTCCTTCCTTCCTTCCTTCCTTCCTTGTTTCTTTCTTTCTTTCTTTCTTTCTGTCTGTCTGTCTGTCTGTCTTGCTCAGTGGGGGCCAGAAGCTGGGCGTCGAGCCCCCGTCGCCTTCCTGTGTATTGTCGTAGGCGCTGGACGATGCCAGCGCAGCCTGGCAGGCAGCCCGCAGTGTGGTTAGTTTAGGCCCACACACCCGGATGTGGCTGCCAGAGCCCGTCCAGGTCTTTGGCGCTGGGAAGGACGAAGGGTGACACCCATCACACGGTGGTGCTTCTCCTGGCGCAGGCAGCCCCACACCAAGTCGCGCCCACTGTTTGCTCGGAATGCAAGGGTCACCTTGGGTCTGAGTGCGGTGCAGTTGGCTCCGGTGTGAAGATCCGGCAAGGGGCTGGTTTACATTCACAGTAGTAGGACCTGCAAGACAAGGCCCCCTTCTCAAGAACCGGCTCGTCGAGGACGCAGCCATATGCCGCGAGCTCCTGGACAACGAGAAACTCATAGATCCAGAAAACGGAGTGGAGTATTTTCTCAACTTTCTACCCGGCTATTTCTAGATTCCTCAGTTTCTTCAGACGTTGAGGTAACGGTGAATTTGCGACCTTCATCAGCAATTCCGAGATTCTCCTGCAAGGGCTGCGAGCGTAAGACACAGCTCTGGAATATATTCAAACATCATCAGTGTATATTCAAGCCATCACTGACGCGAATCAAAGAATGCTTGAACGGCAAAACCAGAGAATTGCCGGGCAGACTACATCGACTCGACCGTTCAGGAGGTAAGAGACAAGAGCGCCCGCGCGCTTTCCACTGTCAGACAACATCCTGACACTGTCGCTTTCAACCCTTCAGGAAAGCACAACCAGGCGGCAAGGCCAACATGGCCGATGGTTCCACCACCGACCAATCCTATTGGGGAACCGCAGCCTTGGTTCCAAAAAGGAATATGAAAATCCTTCATCAAAATCAAGGACAAAGGAAAAGATTCAGGCAAGGATGACAAATGCAAAAGAATCACCAAACCTTCATAGTGCCGATGCACGGGAAGCCACGCAGCCTCCTGTCGACATATTGGCAGAGCCACACCGCCTGGCCCGCAGAATGGAACAGTAGTTCTTTTTTCCAACCTGAACGATGGTTACGCGGCAAACCTAGCAGAATCAACCGAAGAATTTGATGCTAGTAGAAGTACGGTCGCCCACAGTGGCTTGACCTGCGACATGATTCCGCGCGCGACGCCAAATGGAGCTCAAGCTTTGGCCAGTAAACTCACGGCGCCCATCATCAAGCAGGCTGAAAATTTTCAACTCATGTCATCCTTGACAGCGGCTGTACTAAGCCCACGGGCAGTTGGTACGAAGTGGGGAGGTTCATCAAGGCAATTGAACCGTATCCTCACCGGATGAAGCACGATAATATCTCACGCAACAGGTTTTTCAACACCCCGCAACCTATGGTGACTTACACATATATTCTTGAGCAAGGGCAAGTTCTGATTTGCTTAGCGTTGTTCATGGCCGAAATTCTGTTTTATTTAGATTCTAACATGTGTTTCAAAGTCGTATTTGGTAAGGAGTTCCCCTTTTCAATCCAACCTAGACTTCAGACTGATGTCGCCGACTGCGCTGGAGCACAAGATGTCAACACATATGGAAGCACGGCGTGCGCATGGTCACGCCTTCAGCAAAACATAAGGGAGCAAACCTCAACAAAAGCGCCAAAACTTGATGGAGAATGCCCACAAACCAACACCAACTCAGTGTTTGGTTGGCTTTTGGTGCGTGCCAGCGGACAATGCGCAAAATTAAAACAGAAACTGGGGGAACCCCAACACGCTCAACCTTTCGTTTGAGCCCGAAGCCTTGTGTTTTTTGGTTTTCTCGAGTTGTTTATTTGTTATTTGGGTTTTCCATGTGCATTTTGATGGCTTACTCATTCACGTCTTTATTAAAGCTTCTGCGTGCATTAGGAAGCGTCAAATCGAGCTGACATACGGCTTAGTATTTGCACATGCCCAGAAACGTGAACACCGGCGTTCCTGAGTAGAACGCCAGAAAACACTGCAAACCGCATGTTTGTTTGGCGCGCTGAACTCAACGTGGAATGCCCCGAGAGACCAGACTCAGGTCAGACACGCACGCACTTCATGGTTCTGCATCTCAAACATCAGTCTACAGCTTATAAAATGAACGATTCCAGGAGGTTGGCATTAAACATGTTTTGCTGTCAATACACAAGAAACATGTGAAAGGAAAGAGCATCAAAGCGCAAAATGTAGATCATGGTGGGGCTTCCAACATAAATAAGTATATATATATATGCTACGCTCCCCCCTTTGCTTGATTTCAGCGCCAGGCTGTAGAGTTTAGATTTTTTTGCAATAGATTTTAAGCACAGACGAATGGGCTTGCGGCCCATCATGGCAAGATCCGAAATGTCCCAATATGATACCCTTTATATGACACCCTTTCCAAATAGGATGTTACTTCAACTAGAATTGGAATTTTGAATATAATTTGGTTAGGATATAGCTTTCAATAATGTGTTTATGCTCAACATTGCTCAACTACTACATGAGAATTTAAGTATAGTTTCGGGCAAACTCCAACTAATCTTCCACAACACGAGTTAGGAGTTTATTCCCAAATGCACTCTACGTGTTAATACGAACACAACTCAATTAGCTTTTCGTAACAACAACTGAGTAGAGACTACTTCTCAAACTTAGTTCCTTTCCAAAAGGAAATTTCAAGGGAAGAGAGGTTCAAATTCTAAAGCTGTTTCTCGACAGGGATTCTACCTGAATCAGTTGCACTTAAATTTCTATTTGCACAGGGAAGCAACATTCATTCTCTTTCAAAAAGCGGAGGTAGTAGATGAGCAAATGTGGAGAGGTAGTTCAAGAGGGGACACACATACATATGTATATGCCTAGACCATCCAGGCGTTCGTGTTTTCTGCCGGGGGAACGTCGCCTTTGGGTCGGGCAATGTCGCCTTTTCGTCTTCATCCTTGTTACGCAAAACAACAAAACCCGCCAAAATGCACTGAGGCAAAAAAAGGTGTCGTTTGCAGCAAAAGGAGCCTTTGGACCAAACAGCACAAAAATGCACACATAGGAGGGCCCAGGTGTATATAGACATACACACGTATATAGTACCCCTAATGATCCGCTCCTCTTCACAAAAGTGCTGTAAAATATAGTGTTTTTGAGCATTACACCTACCTTTGTTTACCTCCTGGAAAAGGGTCAACATGCTTCATAGATAACATGAAGCAAACCGCTCACCAAAAGCACTTGAAAGTTTGTCTACTAAATGACGCATGGAGAGTGTTTCCACTGGATCGCTAAGCACTTGAGGGGTTTCTACCACTGGAAAAATCAACACGGAAGATTACACAGAACACTTTCCTGAGAATTGTCAATCCTGGCCAAACCCAAACAACATTCAAGTTCTTCTACTTGAAAGTGTTTTACCACTGAGTTGAGGATTCAATATCGAGGATTGCACAAACAACAACTTTCCTGAGAATCACCCATCCTGGCCAAACCCTAAAATTATTAAGTTGTTCTAAAACTTCGAACGGGATTGAAGGTTCAAGATTGAAAGGTGTCACGGAAAGATTTCTCCGAGAATCTTATTGAACAACGAGAGTATTGGGACAAACCTGGATTTTTTTTAAAAAAA